TTTTATTGCCGCTGGTGGGTGGACAAATGATCTCAGATAGAAGATCTAAGTAGAGTTGTTTCCATGCCACAGACATTTGGAGGGAAGTATGTTTAATGAAATATATTTTTATAGAAGATATTATAGAACTTGTAATTGAAAACTTATGGCAGTATTTTGGGGAGTGATATGTTTCTAATGTTAATTTGTGGATTTACTCTGAACTCTTTTCTTGGTGTTTTAGAACCATTGGCTGAGTGAATATTTTCCAAGAGGCTTTTTAGATCTAAACTGTGTTTCATGAAATGCAGTATTTGGTGCCTAAATAATGTATAAATCCAGTTGGACAGGAGCTGCCTATCAGCTTTATTAACTTTGACCTTTTCTCCTATTATAAAGGTGGTTCAGTAAATATTTAATGGGCTCCTTATAGATCTTGACAGGTAGAGGTGTGTTCCTGGAAACTAGGGTACGTATGTATGGTTAACAAATGTTGCTTAATCATTATAAGTCAGTGTTCAAGGGCAGATTTTGTTTGGAGGGAAGAGCAGTCCTCCTGTCTACACATGCCCTTAGAGGCAGGCGCACCATGTATTGAGAGCATCCAAGATATATAGATTTCAAAGGAACTCTTTAAAAGACAGCAGTTAGGATGCATTTCTGCTGTTTTGTTTTTTGGTTTCTTTTACCAAATGTCGAATGATGCCAGGTGGATAAAATCCCTCTACCACTCTGCATAGTTAGCAGGACTCTCCACTCAGAGAGTCAGCAGGGCTGGAATGGCTGAGCTTGCACAGACCCTAATAAAACCCAAGGAAGGAGAGCCAAAAGGAGAGACGATTCCTTGAGCCAGGAGGGGCCTTTGCCAAGCTGTCCTTCCCCGTAATTCCATAAAGCCCCGTGCATATTGCACTCATTGCAGATTCTGATGGGGAAGATCGAAACCCAAGTAGCTGACATTTTGAAACATTGTCTTTCAAACTTGTACTGTCCCTTGCTTCCATTGATTTCCCATTTAAGAATCTGTAGGAAAAAAAAACAAATTTGAGCAAAATTTATTGGTCTGAGATGAGTTGTTAGAACCAAATTATGCCCCCCTTTTCCAACCTGAAAAGAGCTCCATTTTTATTATGAATGTGATGTATCTTTGTCTTGTGTCGGGAGCCATGAGGCTCCTATATAAAATCGACCAAGTAAATCAAGAGCCTGTTAAAAAGCAATATGGATGCTCCAAACACAGACATTTCAGTCTTATTGGGTCACTGTTTATCTTCATTTTTATAACCATTTTTCAGGAGCAGATCATTTCAGTTGGTTTTGTTTTCTTCACTCTCTATTTGTGTGTAGCCTGATGGCTTTAGGTGAGGTCATTTATTTTTCAGGACATTATTACCCTTCACATTCAGAGCCCAGCCCCTTTTAATGGTGGTCACCAGTTTAATTACCATGCGCTGTAGTGTAGCTGACTCAGCAAAGAAAATCTATGGCTTGAAAGAGCATTTTGAGAAGAAATTGATTCAAAGCTTTAGAATGAATGACTATTTGTATGTTTAGTTTATTCTAAATAAATGTTTAAAAGACTTTACTTAATTTGAGAAGAGAGGAAGAAACATATTGGATGTTATAAATGCTCTCAATCCAAATTCTTAGCTTGGCATTTTTACATTTGAATGTTTTATTTACATCTGTTCAAAATTGGGATACCTTTCAAGGAGAATTTTATTATAAGGAAATTGATGACAACTCTTATCCAAAGTACATAAGTACAGGATTAGAAAAAGAAGGTAAAAGTCATTATCACATGTCAAATTAGATATAAACTTCATTTGGCAAGGAGTGAGAATGATGAATTATATTTTAAATCCAAATTTCCTGATGGTAGGAGTTAGGGGGATTGACTGCATTAGGGCACAAGGCAGCTTTCTGCAGTAATGGAAAATTTTTATATCTTGACTGAGATGGTGGTTACACAGATGTATACATTTGTCAAAATGCATCAAACTGTACACTTAAAATGTGTGCTTTATATTTTAGGTAAATTATAGGTCAATAAAGTGGATTTTTGAAAAGCCCTGTTTGGTTTAGAACTATGCAGTATTTTTTTTTTTTTTTTTTTTTTTTTTTTTTTTTTGAGACAGAGTCACAAGCTGTTGCCCTGGGTAGAGTACTGTGGCGTCACAGCTCACAGCAACCTCCAACTCCTGGGCTAAAGTGATTGTCTTGCCTCAGCCTCCCAAGTAGCTGGGATTAAAGGTGCTGGCCACAATGCCCAGCTATTTTTTTTTTGGTCGTAGTTGTCATTGTTATTTGGCAGGTCCGTCTGGATTTGAACCCGCCAGCTCTGGTGTATGTGGCTGGCGCCTTAGCCGCTTAAGCTATAGGCATAGAGCCATAGAACTATGCAGTATTATCTCTCTTTCCCAACAGAGAAATGGAAGTATAGATCTATGCTAAAAATAAATGGCCTCACCTAAATAAAATGGTCTGTCCTGGCCGGGTATGGGTAGCTCATATCTGTAAACCCAGTGCTCTGGGAGACTGAGGCAAAAGGATTGCCTGAGTCTCAGGATTTTGAGAGCAACCTGAGTAAGAGCCAGATTCTGCCTCTACTGAAAACGAGCTGGGTATCAGAGCCGCATCTGTAGTCTCAGCTACTTGGGAGGCTGAGGCAAGAGAATCACTTGAAACGCAGGGGTTTGAAGTTGCTGTGAGTTAGACTGATGCCGTGGTACTTTAGCCTGGGCAACAGAGCAGCACTCTGTCTCAAAAAAAAAAAAAAAGTTATTCTAAGTAACCCTGGAGCTCAGCAGTTTGTCTAGGAATAAAGCAAAGGATGCTAGCACTGAACCCATTTAAAGGATGCTGCTTTCTTACCTCAATACATTGTGCCAGGTGCATGTACATGGAGGTGAGATCAATCTCTTCACCCTGTTAACTCTTTAGTGAGCCTATATCCACTTGTTTGCCTTGTTTTAAGATAAATTCATGAGCTTGTTCTTATGATTGAGCCCAGTGGTTCTGAATGCTGACTCACAGTGTGTGCAAATCTGTGTGTGGTAAGTTGGCTTGTGGTCATAGCTCACCACAGCAGACTGCGAGTTCTGTGATTTTTATTACAAGTTGGACACAACAGTGGCAGGAGTGCCCAGAACTAACTTTGCCTCTGATAGAAACCTGATTCTTCTTATTAAAAATGATGGCTTTACAGCCATTTATACAGAGCATATGTGAATAGTAGTGAAAATAGGAAAGTAAAAATTACCAGCTTGGTGCCTGTAGTTTGGCGGCTAGGGCTCCAGCCACATACACCAGAGCTGGCAGGTTTGAATCCAGCCGGGGCCTGCCAAACAACAATGACAACTACAGCCAAAAAATAGCCAGGTGTTGGGGCAGTTACCTGTAGTCCCAGCCACTTGGGAGGCGGAGGCAAGAGAATTGCTTAAGCTCAGGAGTTGGAGGTTGCTGCCAGCTGTGATGCCACGGTATTCTACCCAGGGCGACAGCTTGAGGCTCTGTCTCAAAAAAACAAAACAAACAAAATTACCTGAATTCTGTTACTTAAAAAGTTAGCATTTTAGACAGCATCTTTTTAAGTGCTTTTTTGTTTACAATGTAATCTGTTTTTTTTAATTCAATGAAATGATTATGGTGAAGTTCTTTGTATATTTTAACCAGTCTCTCAGATTCTATGTGATGTTCTGATTCTTTTCAGTTTTTCATTATCATGTACTGCTATGATTAACAACTTTGTTTTTTTCTCTCTTCCTTTCCTTTCCTTTCCTTTTCTCCCCTCTCCTCTCCCCTCCTCTCCTCTCCTCTCCCCTTTCCTTTCTTCTTTCCTCTCTCCTCTCCTCTCCTCTCCTCTCCCCACTCCCCTCTCCTCCCTCCCCCTCCC